AACTTCGTAAAGCGGTCAAAACTGACCAGTTGTATTTCCCTATATAATCTTTGTATTTTATGGGAATAACAGAGGGTCATTTCAACGCAGACTTTAGGGTACTTAAGCTCAGTATATCTGGCTAATTTTTTGCATGTTCCTAGGACGATGGCTTGACCTTGAGGGAAAACTGTCGGTTACACTCAAAGCCCTCGACGAGGGCTAAAAAGTGACCGCGAGTGAAATTCTCTTTATATGAGCTCTACTACGAAAAAGAATTTCCTCCGACGACCCCCCTTGATATTTTGTGAGGTGGTAGAAGAACACCTAGGGGTGTCACAAAAAACTCGGCATATCTGGGAAAACTTCGTAAAGCGGTCAAAACTGACCAGTTGTATTTCCCTATATAATCTTTGTATTTTATGGGAAAAACAGAGGGTCATTTCAACTCAGACTTTAGGGTACTTAATCTCAGTATATCTGGCTAATTTTTTGCATGTTCCTAGGACAATGGCTTGACCTTTAGGGAAAACTGTCGGTTACACTCAAAGCCCTCGACGAGGGCTAAAAAGTGACCGCGAGTGAAATTCTCTTTATATGAGCTCTATTACGAAAAAAAATTTCCTCCGACGACCCCCCTTGATATTTTGTGAGGTGGTAGAAGAACACCTAGGGGTGTCACAAAAAACTCGGCATATCTGGGAAAACTTCGTAAAGCGGTCAAAACTGACCAGTTGTATTTCCCTATATAACCTTTGTATTTTATGGGGAAAACAGAGGGTCATTTCAACGCAGACTTTAGGGTACTTAAGCTCAGTATATCTGGCTAATTTTTTGCATGCTCCTAGGTCAATGGCTTGACCTTTAGGGAAAACTGTCGGTTACACTCAAAGCCCTCGACGAGGGCTAAAAAGTGACCGCGAGTGAAATTCTCTTTATATGAGCTCTATTACGAAAAAAATTTTCCTCCGACGACCCCCCTTGATATTTTGTGAGGTGGTAGAAGAACACCTAGGAGTGTCACAAAAAACTCGGCATATCTGGGAAAACTTCGTAAAGCGGTCAAAACTGACCAGTTGTATTTCCCTATATAATCTTTGTATTTTATGGGGAAAACAGAGGGTCATTTCAACGCAGACTTTAGGGTACTTAAGCTCAGTATATCTGGCTAATTTTTTGCATGCTCCTAGGTCAATGGCTTGACCTTTAGGGAAAACTGTCGGTTACACTCAAAGCCCTCGACGAGGGCTAAAAAGTGACCGCGAGTGAAATTCTCTTTATATGATCTCTATTACGAAAAAAAATTTCCTCCGACGACCCCCCTTGATATTTTGTGAGGTGGTAGAAGAACACCTAGGGGTTTCATAAAAAACTCGGCAATTCTGGGAAAACTTCGTAAAGCGGTCAAAACTGACCAGTTGTATTTCCCTATATAATCTTTGTATTTTATGGGAAAAACAGGGAAATTTTAACACAATTTTTAGGTTACTTAATGTCTGTACATCATGCTAAGTTTTTGCATACACTACTATAGATGACTAGGCCGTATGGAAAAACTGTTGGTCAGACTCAAAGCCCTCGACGAGGGCTAAAAGATGATCTTGAGTGAAATTCTCCTTATATGATATATATATATATATATATATATATATATATATATATATATATATATATATATATATATATATATATATATATATATATAAATTGACGAACGACCCCCTTAATATTATGTGACGTCGTAGACCGACCATGGAGGGTAACAAAAAAACTTTATTCCCGTCGGAAACAGCCATTATAGTCGTTAAATATGTTCATATAACGTAATTTCTTATATAAGCAAACAATATAAGTAAACAATGACATACGTCATACGTTCAGTTTTCAAGGGAGGTAACGTTTTTAAAATTATTATTTTTCAAATAATTGTATACTATTTTAAACAGAAACAGAAAATGACGAAGTATAGCATTTCTTTTAGTACAAAATTAAGTTGTTAATTTAGTTAAGTATGCTAATTAAATAAATTAATTAATTTCAAAAGGCAATGTAATATAAACTATGAGATATACTGTTCATGAAACCTGTGTAGTTCTAATTCCATTTTAGTTATACATTGCGTACTTTCCAAATATTCTCTACGAATCTGCATGTAAATGACTAACAAAAACATTTTTTCTAAAGTTAGCATTACTGTTTAAATTAAACTTATTAAACTTATTAAAGCACTCCACACCCAATCCATCGCTAAATAATTAAGTATTCAAATTCTCAAAAGCCTTTTAAAAACCTAAGCGAAGCTAGGCAGTATGCCTAGTATATATATATATATATATATATATATATATATATATATATATATATATATATATATATATATATATATATATATATATATATATATATATATATATATATATACATATATATATATATATATATATATATATATATATATGGTAATCTATCGTTTTGGGTACGTAAAATCGCCCGCGATTTGTAAAGTGAAAAACAGGTGACTCCTTAAATTTTAATAATTATTTCACATTTTGAGGAGGATTTATGTTTTAAAAAAATCAAAAATGTTTCCTTGATTCATTTCTGTACCTGTTTTTAAACAATTGAATTAAAACTTTTCCGTAATAAATGAAGACTAGCGATGTTTCCAACAGATGCAACCATGCTCATTTACTATAGCAGCCATCTTGTCTAAGTTTTATTTTTATAAGCTTTTAGCGCCAGATTCAGGGGGAAGCCACTCTATTTTACAAATGGCTGCTGTTTATATAGCAAATCTTGCTCTCAGACACTGCTGTTTAAAGTTAATTTCTGGCCTATATCGATATATTTAGCCATTGATTTAGGTTTATTATTCATTTATCTATAATATTTGACACAAAAGTATGACAATATACATCTATTAAAGCCTTGACAATGAGGTAACGTTTTCGTACATAAATAGCCGCGGGCGATTTTACGTACCCAAAACGATAGATTACCATATATATATATATATATATATATATATATATATATATATATATATATATATATATATATATATATATATATATATGGAAGAAACTCTGATTTTGTGTTTATATATATATATATATATATATATATATATATATATATATATATATATATATATATATATATATATATATATATATATATATATATATATATATATATATATGCCTATATATATGTATATATGTATGGAGGGCCCTAAAAAATTTTTGGCGGGGTGCCCTTTTTTCCTGCACACGTCGTCACAAAAAGCCAGAACCCATCCCCTAAAATGGCGTCACTTCTCAGCTTACAACCCCCCTCAAAATTGCTGTTGAATTTTTCTTAAAACATCGATATGTTTCTAAAATCTAGCCTGAACTCTGTCAAAATAGAGTATTTTAATCAATTTATTAAAACAGTTTTCTAAAACGCGAAATAACGTCTAAAATTCGTTTTCTAACATTGCCTTTTTTATAATGCAAAAGTGTGACATCGCAACATCTAACCATCTACCCCCCCCCCCCTCCTCTCCCGCTCATCACACACCGTCACAAAATTACGCCCCCCCCCCTCCCCCCTACGAGTGTGACATCGCACCTTCTGAACCCCCCCCCCTCTCCCCCTCATCACACACCGTCACAAAATTACGGACCCCCTACGAGTGTGACGTCATTTATGGACGACCCCATAAATGTTTCTGTATTATCGAGTAAACACAAGCTTTGGTCTTGTTGAACAGTATGATCACTCAAGTGCTTTTCAAGTCAACACTCATTTCACCGGGCCAATAGTTTGCTCACTAGAATATTAAAAGGTCAGCAAATTGCGCTGATTGATGGGGCAATAAACGAGCTTCTGTGACGTCACATAGAGGGGAAAAGTGGGAGTATTCTCAAGTGGTTCATTCACGTACGTGACGTGTGATCACATGACTCTCACGTGACGGCAACAATGAATAAGTGCACATCTGTACAACGCATACATTGTTTGATCTATCCGCTATCTCCTAAAACCATCCTCCGGACGAGAAAATTTCCATCTCCTGTTTTCTACTTCAAACAAACCCACAGTTGAACACCGTTCCAAGGGAATGTGTCATGTTTTCAATGTAATGACACATGTCATTTTACATTAATGTTTATAACTAATAGACCTACAAAACGAAAATATTTTTCATTACACAATTAGTGATAAAACAACATCGAATCAGGAAATCGATAAGTAATTGAGTGATTGGGTGTCTTGTATAATTGATGCCTGATCTTTGGGGACGGGGGGTCCGCGGCCATGTGACATTCTGTGACGGAGGGCTTGAGGCGGCAAGAACATAAAGTAGATGGAGGCCCTGTATTTTTATCCCAAGAGAGATTTGTTTTTGTTTTTGTTTTGTTATAACCAACTAATTATACCACAGGGGCTCCTTTTTATTCTGCTGTAGTAAATTTTAAGAATATCCCAAAAACCATTTATATTGTGTTACAGTAATTATATCCCAGTGACAGTATGTTACTGTAATTAAAAAATGGTGAGTAATTCTTGGACTTCTGGCAGCAGTTTTTCGGACGGGAAGGGGGGGGGGAATATGTCTGAATGTCTGAAAGAAACTCTGCCCCCACCCCCCCTTTCCCATTCACCGCTCTTTAATCGACTACAGAATAGTTACAGCTTTATCAACTAGAGTAAGGTTTTAATATAAACAAACACGAATGTCTACAGTAAAATACAATACTTCACCCAAAATAAATAATTGTTAGAAGTAGATAATTAATTAATAAGCACGTCAAATCATTACAGTACAAAGTAAGTGGGTCCGACATATAAGGTTCCATCATTATGCTCTGCCATATATATATATATATATATATGCCCATCAATACATCACTAATGTAACTTTCATTATTGATGTCGATGTTTATGTTTATACAAGTAAGTGTTACACAAACAATGAACACTGCTCAGTAGTGAGTCATGAGCATTTAATAAACTGCCAGCTAATTACTTACCGGTTAACTAGAACAATGTTCCGACTAGGTCACACACAAGCCACAGCTAATATTACCGGCGAGCGGTTACTGCCGCTTGATGATGCCGGTGTTTAAATACAGGGCCAGCCCCCTCTCTCGGCCAGGAATGCGACCTGCATGTCGGCAGCTCACCCAGACGACGTTCGTCTGCACCTCTCTTGCACTCGGATGCTGAGTTTTAAAAAATTGGTTTTCCTAGAATGGGTTTTTTTCCCGGAGATCCTGTTTGGAATAGAGATATATGTTGACCAATCTTTTAATGTCATGTTTAGTCCCAAGTAACAAGCGTTTCGGTTGTGATCTGAGTTAGTATCGCCAATTAACATTAAGTAGGGACAGTGGCGTAGCAAGGGGTGTGTGTGACATTTAGGGGGGGGGGTGACACCAAGGCAAAAAATAGCAAAATATATAGAGAAAAATGATAATTCCTCATAAGTATGAGGGGGGTGGGGGTGCAAATCAAAAATTGAAAGTTTGTCCCCGGGCGCCGGTAAGGGTCGCTACGCCTCTGGGGGGGTGACACCATTAAGTGCCGCACCGGGTTTGACCCGACTCGCTACGCCACTGAGTGGGTAACGTGCATATCATTATTATATAACACGATGGAAACTGGTGTTGTTTTTTATTTTTATTATGATGTGTGTGATGACGCAAGGTTGCGTCGAGCTCAGGTAGATAGCAGAAGCAGGCTATAGCAAGTGGGTCAGACTAGTCAGAGAGAGAGAGACCAATAAAAATACGTGAACTGACCGGTCACGTGGTACGGTCAGCTGACCACTGAAGCGTGGGCTGCTGTACGGCCGGCAGTTGATAGGTAGATAACGAAGAGAGAAGGTGTTAGGAAGCGGTCAGAGACGGTCGAGATATGTAGGACTAGATAACAGTAACAATTAGTGAAGAGAACGGTCAGATAGGCAGATCTAGGAAACGGCAGCCAGTAGTAGTAGTAGAGAGTATATAGTATGCTAGTTAGTTAGGTAGAACTTGATCTTATAAATTTAATAAAGGACTTTTGATTTTGAACCTGGAACTTGTGTTATTGGATTCATCCGTTACGCCTCTTAAAAAAATCCCCACCCTCACAATGTGTTATTGGGAAGGGGTGTGGTAATTACATAACACTTTCGTCGATTTTAACTGTTTTCATTTTGCCATATTTAAAAAAAAAACTAAAATATTTGAATGAACACCACTGACTAACAAGTTGTAATAAGTAAATATACCCTTTCGAACCTAGTGGCCCATGACTGACTCAGATGAAGTAGAGTGCACCTTTTTCTCTGACCCCTGCACTTGAAGTGAAACTGTGGTCGGCACTATGCCCTGACACCTTGACTTTCCCAAACGCGACTCATGTACTCATCAGAGCTGGGTGGACTCATATTATTAGATCCTATACGTAGGTTTCTATCAACTTTTGAGCAATTTCCGGTAACCGGAAGTAGTACTTTACTCAATGTTAGGTTTCTCAAAAACTGATAACTTGAGAACCATTTCAGTTAGACAACATTTCATATATATATAAGTAGGCTATTAGATCCTATGCGTATGTATAAACTTTTGAGCGATTGCTAGTAACTGAGATTGGTAGTTCCCCACTTCTCAATAGTTTTATATCATATTCTCTTAAAGTAGCATATTCCGAGAACGTTTCGACTCCGTTTCTTCGAAACGAGCGGTTTTGGCCCAAATCCATCTAATATTTTATACCCGACTGCACTGGAAGTGCAATCCCAAATCCTTACTCAATGTTACATACGAGAAAGCTAAGGGGAGCTCACTCCCGTTTAAAAAAAACAATGGTGGAGGATGTAAACAAATCTACCTACACAACAAGGCGGGAAGATAAAAAAAAAAGGCTTTCTGTGACCTACATAGGCGCTCCCCTTTACATTCATGTATAAACAATAACCCAGGGATTCTCTTGCGGTTTAGCGGGTTTTGTTTTTACGCTTTCGTTTCTTTAGGGATCGTGCGTATATTATATAACACTTACAGCAGAGGCGTAGCGAGGGGGGAGGGGGTACATATGTCCCCGGGCGCCGACCTTAGGGGGCGCCAAAATGGGTTGGAAAAACAAATTGTAAATAGTTTGAGGGGGGGGGGGTGTAAATCGAAAGTTTGATGAGGGTCGCTACGCCTTTGACTTACAGTGTTGGGGTATCATTAGGGTATAACATGTGGTGATGGAGAATGTGGTGGTCAAGCAATGTTTTAGGCTCTTAACATGGCCAATGATTGTTGTAGAGGGGATCTA